AACCTCCAACTCCTGGGCTCAAGCGAGTCTCCTGCCTCAGCCTCCCAAGTAGCTGGGACTACAGGCGCCTGCCACAATGCCCAGCCATTTTTTGGTTGCAGCCATCATTGTTGTTTGGTGGGCCCGGGCTGGGGATTCGAACCTGCCACCTTAGGTATATGTGGCTGGCACCTTAGCTGCTTGAGCCACAGGCGCCAAGCCCAAAGCGCTTTTCATGGACTATAGTCACCAGTTGCAATTTCAAGCTGTCTTGAAGATGTAACACACCCTCTAGGGTCAGCAGTTTTGCTTTCTTTAAAGTGGGTTGGAAACTTCAAGATTCTCTTAAAGCAATCTGATTTTAACATCTGCTTGAAATTTTATGATTCCTCCTCCTCCCAGTTGGCTTCTGTTTTTTTGTTTTTTTTCTGTTTTTGAGACAGAGTCTCACTTTGTTGCCCTTGGTAGAGTGTCATGGTGTCATAGCTCACAGCAAACTCAAATTCTTGGGCTCAAGAGAGTCTCTCACCTCAGCCTTCCTGGTATCTGGGACTATAGGGACCTGCCACAGTGCCAGGCTATTTTTAGAGACAAGGTCTCCCTCTGTCTCAGGCTGGCCTCAAATTCATGGGCTCAGGTGATCCACCTGCCTCTGCCTCCCAGACTGCTAGGATTACAGGCATGAGCCACCACGCCCAGCCTCAGCTGCAGTTTTTACTGGAACACGTTTATCAAGTCATCCCAAGCTTTCCCCTTCGTATTTACACTCATATTTGAGTTTACATGTTATTTAATATGTAGAGTCGTGTGTCACATAATGATGTTTTAGACAATGACAGACCACGTGTATGACAGTGGTCCCATAAGATTATATTACCATATTTTTACTGCATCTTTTCTATGTTAGGTGTGTCTTGATACACAAATACCACTGTGCTACCAATGCCTATAGTATTTAGGACAGTAACATGCTTCACGGGCTTGTAGTCTAGGAGCAACACACCACACCACATAGACGCGGTGCTAGACTCCTTAGGTTTGTGTAAGTTCACTCCATAATGACAAAATCACCTAATAATGCATTTCTTAGAATACATATCCAGTCCTTGAGTGATGCATGGTTGTATTTATAACAGTCACTGTGGCAAAAAGAAATTAGAGATACAGGCAGTCCCTGGGTTAGAGTCCCTTGGGCTCTGTATGTGTGCTCTTAAATTCATTTTGCATGTAAGTTGGAACATGTACATTTACCCATTACCTATAATAGCTTCCATTCCTAAGTGTGAGTTTTAAGTAAGTTGGGTGTTTATAACTCAGCCACTGCCTGTAAACTGACTCTTGAGAAACACATAATGTTCAACTAGTCAGATTGCATGAGTTCAACTTACCTTATGAGGTGTGAGCCGACAGATGATCTGGGTGTCAGTAAGTGGGCTTAATAAAAGGAGCGGGAGTAAGTGCCTGCTAAGCGAGTTAAGTTGAGGTTGATTGGGGAAGTTTCTATTGTGTGTTACGTCTTTGTTCCTTTCAATATTCATACTGAAGAAATACCTAGTACTAAGCTGTCTTCATCTTCTTCAATACCTAGGGGAAAAGTTATTTTTGAAAGACTAGTATTGCCTCAAATTCACAAACCTATTATCTTACATTTACTTTCATAGAATTATCATTAATACATATGCATTTTTTTGATGGACTTTTTTTTTTTTTTTTTGCAGTTTTTGGCCAGGGCTGGGTTTGAACCCACCACCTCTGGCATATGGGTCTAGCGCCCTACTCCTTTGAGCCACAGGCGCGGCCCAGTACATATGCATTTTTTTGAAGCTTCTGAAAACTTGTTACTAATAAAGCCAGTTTTTTTCAAACAAGTTCCTATGAAGGTTGTTTTAAGACAAGGTCACTGTCCCACATATAATTAATTAGTTTCCTTTTTATCAGTTTCTCTTAGTGATTAAATTTATCTGTTAAAAATATCTACTACCTATTAACAATTATCACCTGAGGATTAGAACACCTCTTGGAACTGTGATCTCCAAACCCACTCTCCTTTTCACATGCCTCGGCATTTTCTCCTTGGAGTCTTAAATCCTGCTCTTGCAGCAGAAATGTTTCAGAGCTCTCACTAACTTTCTTGGTGGTGTCACTGATACTATGTATCATGTCCTAGTGAAAATGGCACTACATTCTTTTCCAGTATCCTTGGAAAACTTTATCCAGTTCATTTTGATAAACCTTAGCCAGCCGTCCTGATGATGCTTTCACTACTTCCACAATTACCACCCCACTCAAATCTTTTTGTTGATCTCATAGTGAATTTGCAGTAATTCTGTAAGGCTTTTATATTTTGACTCTGCTCTTTATTTTTATTACTAGGATGGGTATCCATGACTACCCCGTGATCTTCCCTTTCAGATTTCTTTTGAGAGAAGCTTTGCTTAATTGCAAAGTTCCTCTGAAAGCTGAGAAGAACAATGCTAGCTCCTTAAATTCTGGTGCTATTGTCACCCTAGGGGTTGTTCTTCCATTGATTTGTATTTGTACCTGATTTTGTGCTGTGATTATTTGTAAGCTACTTATAGATTGCTGGCAGGGAAGCCAAGACATCAGTAGTCAGTGTTTATTGTATCTGTGTAAGCACACCCAAATTCTAGAAATGCCTGGACGCTAAGGAAGCGGGAAAGGTCAGGTTCTGCATGACTTGCTCAGCAGTGGATGTCCAGAACTTTGGTATACTTGTGTGTGTGTTAATACATGTGGTTTTTAAAGTGGATGATATCAAAACTAACTTAAAACCAATGACACTTAGCTAGGAACAGTAAAGTAGGCTGCATTTTGATGTTATATAAATATTTTAACATTTAAGAATAATATGGCATATCTTAATATTGACTTGTAAGATTAAAGAAAAACTTACGAATATTTTAGTAAGTATTCACTATCTTTGCTAAGATCAGTGGCACAGTAGAAGGTAGTTATTTCTGTTAAATGCTTCTATATGGTACATTTGGAGGGCCTATATTGACTCAAAGATTACATAGTCTAAACTGATCATCTTGGAACAACCTTTATTTTAACTGGGCTCTGTCAAGCAACTTCTCTCCCCCCTCAACCTCTGGTAGGAGGGCAGGGCTGAAATGTCCTGGAAGTGAGAGAAATCAGTGTGTTTTCTTTAACTGTGGAAGCCCAGGATCAAGGGATGTTTTTCAGCTGCTTAGAGAATGGTTTATTTTAGCAGATGGAGGCAACGAGAAACTATATATTATACACACATAAGCGTTTAGATCCCAACAAAGATGTGCCACCAAAATAAAGAGCCAAGAAAAATTCTTGCCCTCACTGCCCAGGCCCACCCTGCCTGAAAGAGCGTCAAGACGCGATTTAAAGATACAGGCTTGGTGCACACATAGGCCAGCAGAAAAAAGCTTGTAGATCTTTTTAAAAGTGGTTTTATTGTCTTTTCCTCTCTTCTTCAATCATCTGAGAGATGGACAGGAGTGATAGATTGTCTCTGTGGCTTTCTTACGGCCACCCAAAGTCGTACAAAGGGAGTTTTAATTTGAATATTCATAAGGCATCCAGTCCCCTCTCCTGTGTAGGAAGCAGCTTGCCACGTCTAGTTTTTCAAAAAGCCAAATTCGGTCCGATCCCGACCGAAGAACCGCGCCTGCAGGAGCTGGGAGCTGCCCGCCCCGCCCCCAGGGCAGCCCCGCCCAAAGGGGCGGAGATTCCTTCCGCCCCTAGCCTAGCCTAGCCCCGCCCCTCGCGTAACCCGGATACACACCCACGCTCCCCTTTCACCTCGCGGCGGTTGGCTAACGTGGAAGTCTAATCAGCCGGCCGGCGGGGCAGCCGGGGCTGTGCTACCTGGGGTCTTGTGCGCGGTGGCAGCCGTGGTCTTGGCGGCGCGGCTCGGCCTTTCTGGGGGGCAGTGATGGGGCGCACGGGCGCCGGACAGCGGCCGCCGGTGTAGCCCGCGCGGTGCCCGGCCCGGAGCGAGGCGGCCGCGGCGGGCGCGGGAGGCCTGTGAGGGCCGCTGCCCCGGGAGCCCGGCCTGCCGCGCTATGGCTCCTATGGGCATCCGCCTGTCCCCGCTGGGGGTGGCCGTGTTCTGCCTGCTGGGGCTCGGCGTGCTCTACCACCTCTACTCCGGCTTCCTGGCCGGCCGCTTTAGCCTCTTCGGTCTGGGCGGCGAGCCGAGCGGGGGCGCGGCGGGGCCCGTGGCCGTGGCCGTGGCCGTGGCCGACGGGGGGACCGTGGACCTGCGCGAGATGCTGGCCGTGTCCGTGCTGGCCGCCGTCCGCGGAGGCGACGAGGTGAGGCGCGTCCGCGAGAGCAATGTCCTCCACGAGAAGTCCAAGGGGAAGACGCGGGAGGGAGCCGAGGACAAGATGACCAGAGGCGACGTACTGTCCAACCGCAAGATGTTCTACCTGCTCAAGACCGCCTTCCCCAGCGTGCAGGTGGGTGCCGCGAGCTCGGGCACGGTGGGAGCGGGGGCTCGCTCAGGTCGGGAGCCTGGGAGCTTGGGAACGTGTCTTGGCGCGTTGACTCTTTGTGACAGCTGGGTTGTGGATCCCATCTTGTGGATGGGGACATTGACACGCAGAAGTAAAAGTGCACACAGTCGTACACGCTTGGCGAAAGAGCCGCGTGAGGTTGCAAGTAGCCTGACTCAGGGCGAATGCCCTTCTGGCCCCTCCTCGGTCGTGTGGGCGCCCGAGGTGTCCCGGGATCAGGAGCCGTGAATTCAGGATGGGCTTTGATACCAAAATGCTGAGAAAGTTGATTGTACCCTTCATGCTCCTCTGTAAAATCTCCACGGCTTCTATCCTTCCTTGATTTCTTCACTGGAAGGTTCGAGACTGTAGAATACACCTTTTTTAGCAGTCTTGCCTAAAAGGCCAAGAACATGTCATGTTGCAGAGCTGTTAGTATTCAGGGCATTTGGGTGCATGTTGTGTGTGTGAGGAGGGGCAGTGTGCTCATGTATTACTTAAGTTGTGATTTTATCAGGACGCTGTTAATGGCATTTAGTTTGGGAGTCCTTCAAAGAAATACAGTGTTTGGTAATGTGCTTCCCAGCAACTTTATTTCAGCGCGGATCCTGGTCCCACTTGGTTAAAGATCCCTGTTTACTCTAGAGAGTAAGAATTGAATAACATTTGCATTTTCTCTTGGTAGGCTTCTGGAGAAGAAGTTGACATATTTTTAGGGAAATCCAGGCATTTTGGATTTGTTATTAATACTTTTTGAATTTATCATTTTAGTGGAGTTGCAGTTACATTGAATAAAACTTTAAAAAATTTATTACAATTCCAGAGGAAGCCCTTACCATAGCATAACAGTACCTTATAAATGTGTCTTAACTCGCCCTAACAGTACTAGAAAAAAAAAATGTTTCCAGAGGAATGTCATTAATTAGATAAATAATGATATTGAAACCCCCAGTTCTTTGGAGGTTTCAAAAGTTCATCTGACTGAACTTTTACTATATTCTTGGAAGAGTTGGGAGAGTATTGTCAATGTTGAATTATGAGTTTTGTGTAACCGTTCTTTCAGTCTGTCATAGGGCTTGGGTTTTTTTTTTTTTTTTCCCCCCCCCCCCCCCCAACCTTCTTTTGTTTTCTTTTTTTCTTAATTTTTTTTTCCCCCAGGAAACTTTGGATTTTTTATGGTAAGCTGCTGGATACCAGATGTAGTTGAAATTAGTAGAATTGTTTTCAAATTTCTACTCAAAAAAACAATATTTCCACTTTTTTTCTTTGCTTACTCTGTTTTATTATCACAAATACTGCTTCTTTTTTTGCATCTAAGTGTAGGGTGTGCTTATGAAATAGCTTTCTCTTTGCTAAAACACATGTGCTTCCTTCCCTAAGAATTTATAGAAGAAACAGAATTTCAGATGCATTGATTTGGTTACCATTATGTAATGGTTACAACAATACTAATAATAATCAATTATTGAATGTATTCTAGGCGCCCGAATACTGACCACACAGGACTTTATTTGATCCTTATGGCAACTTTAAGAAGAAAAATTTTATTTTTGCCAACTTTACATGTGGAAAATCTGAGATTCATACACTCCACAGCTTATACAAACTATTTTAACTCGCTGTTTAGGAGGCTACTTAAAATTTACAGTATGACTTCCTAAAGAAAGCATATAATTGTAAAGCCTAAAAGCAGTAATATTGAAATATGGCAAACAGTTGAATTTTTTTAAGAACTTGAGACAAAAATATTTTAAATATTGAAAACATGTCTGTATGTGCGTGTGTATTCTCATTTATTAGCAAACAATAAAGGAATAGCTGCCAAGGATAGTGAGTTGCATTTTATTCCACACAAAAGCAAAGCTTTTGGAATTGCAGATGTTGAAGTCTCTGACTTAATATAAAATAACTTCTTGTTTTCTTGTGACGATTTGAATGTTTCCCTGCACATCTGTGGTGTGCATGTTGGGGTCGTGACTAATGGAATAGAGGGTTGTCTTCATTTACGCAGAGTCAAAGCAGGGGTGGTGTCATGTTGTGCTATCTCCTTATACCCACATGTTTAACTAGAGGCCAATGTAGCCATCTGAGAAGTCAAGTCAGCCTAAGATTCTTCCCTCATTTTCCTCATTGCTCAGAAGTACACTCTTAAGCATCAGGTTGTTTTTCAAGCCTCAGTCGAACTTTTTTGTTAAGAAGCTTAAACTGTGTCCTACTCATTTCACTTTGTAATGGAAAATGACCACGGAGAAGCAACAGATGCCCCTTTCTTTCATCCTAGTGCCTTGGTATAACTGGGGAAAGGTCGGTTCTCTCTCACTACTTGCCTGGGATTTCATTTTGTCAGAGTAATAGCAACTATAGCCAAATTGTCTCTGATTGTATCCTGGTGAGTAACAGTGAAAATGAAGGCTGTGGATAGTTTTGTGGAGTGACTTTGTGGCCAGAGAACAGACAAATGTAGATTAATAGTTTTGATTTAATGGATAGATGACTTTCTATTTGAGAGGCTCCTGTCCTCACCTTAACTTGTTCAAAGTTTTGCCAACTTTGACTTATTTGAAGATAAAGCATGATACTCCACACTGTTAGCCACAGCTCTGGTCTCTGCTTTCCTTAATCTATAAGGTGAGAGTTAGTTAAACTCATCTCTTGTGTAACAGAAGTACTCACTAGAAAAGTTTGAGAGCACTAATATAATGCAAAGAACACTTGATTGGTTTGACATCTTATCCAGTTATTAGCCTAGTCATTTAATGTCTTTGAGCCTTAGTGTTCTCTTTGGAATAAGTAGTAATTGGCATAGATGTTAAGTCCTGAAGGCAGAGGAAAAAGAGCTAGTTCAAAGGGGCAGGCCCAAAAGAGGTGGTGGCACTGCAAATTCAAGTAATAGGATGAGTTTCAGAAAGATGCATTTGGATGAATTACTGTGGAAGAGATTCAGAAGGTAACTATTGGCAGGATCAGAGTTTAAGCCCTAAGGAGTTTGGACCTGATCTTTAGTCTACTGTTAGATTACTAAAAGAATGCCAACTTCCTTGACTTTTCTTGAGGCCTACAATGTGCCATAGTCTGGGTTGTAGGCATTTGAAGGTAGATGAGACTAATGAAGAGACTATTAAAATAGGCCATGTGAGAGATGAGGGCTAGAACTCAGACAGTGGGAAGTTATGCTTGGCTTGTCATATTAGCTGATGTTCATCCCTTAGCAAGTAGCTGAATTAGACTTTTTAAATGCTATTAGTAGTTTATTTTCACAGCAACATAAATAAGAGGTTATTTTCCTTAGCCTTCAATTTTTAGATAAAGAAATCAAAGTTTGGAAAGGTTAATAAATTGCCAAAGGTTGCACAGCTAGAAAATAATCTTAAGCTCACCAAGATTCATTTAGTGGTCAGAGAATCATCTCAGGTTTGTCCAATTCTGCATAGAAGGGGTGTAACAGAAGTGTACTCTTAACTGTAGTGTTTTAAATGAATGGGAGAACTCAGCGGAGATGCTTAGAAAATAATTTGAAGATGAGCAAAGTAGGTGTGAAGAGAGCAGTTGTAGACTTTGTCGGGTAAGGGATAAGTTTTGAATTGGAGTTATGGTTGCAGAGGACATACATGGAGGATATGAAAGGATTTTTAGGGATCTGTCAAAAAGAACTCCTATTTAATAACTTTCACAGTTGGTGTTTTATTAGTGGTGAAGGAGATGGGGGGATGACAAATTGTGTGGGGGCCTATTAGGAGCTGCATTTTAGACTTGTTACATTAAATATGCCTTTTGATTTGTCCAAGGGAAGATGTTAGAGCTCTTGAATATATGGGTTGGAAACTCTGAAAACATGTCTGAATTGGAAATTACAAATTTGTGAGTCTGTTTGACAATTCGTCTTTTTCGACTGTGGATTCCTTTGCTGTTTCTTGTTCTTCTCCATCAATTCCTGCATCCATTTCTTCTTCTTCATCTTGCTCCGTTTTCTGTTGTTTCTTTAGTTTTTTCTTCTGGGAGAGATAACTTGTTCTGGATGCTCCCCCAGTCCTTTTCTCCTCTACACTATAAAATGTTGAGATTGTGGGTTACAGGAAGTGGGTTTTGTAGTTGAAAATTTTTTAACATTCTTAGTGAATGTAAATTCGTACTATTTATATACTGACTAGTCTTGGGGCAAAATCTTGTCATGTGTATAAAAATAAAAAAGATGCCCCCCC